ATTACTCAGGCTCTCAAGACCCAGGAAAGGGAAAGTTCTGATTATACTCTCAAAACAGTTGCATCTACCAGTCAACCAAATCAAAATAAAGCTGCAATAAAACCCAGACCCAACTACACAGACTCAGGCCCTCAATTCTAGTACCCCTTCCTGGGAGTAAACTGTTTATGTCAGTATTTTATTTATTGTGTTTTATTGTTTATTTTTCTTTTATACAAAATTATTTTGTTCTTTCACTGTTTTTTTATACAAAATGGCTGGCATTAATAAAAAATTAGAAGACATATGAAAAATCAAGAAAATATGATTTATGATCAAGAGAAGATATAGTCAATAGAAGCAGATCACTCCTGATCCAGATTTTTGAATTATCAAACACAGAATTTTAAAATAACTATGATAGAAATGCTAACAGATCTAGTAGGAAGGTAGAAAACATGCATGAAGAGAAGAAAACATGTTTAGAGACATGGAAACTATAACAGAATCAAATGGAAATGCTGGAAATAAAAAAATACAATTTTGCAAATAAAAGTCTCAATGGCCTTAATGGTTGGCTGGACTCAGCAAAAAAAAAAAAAGAAAAGAAAAAAGAAAAAAAGAAAAAAAGAAATCAGTAAACTTACAGACAGAGCAATAGAAAATTTACAAACTGAAACAAAGATAAAAAAATGAATGAAAAGAACAGAACAAAGAATTTGAGAACTGTGACACAATATCATATCAAGCATTTTACTATATATGTCATTGGAGTCCCAAAGGAGAGGACAGAAAGAACTGGGCAAGAGAATATTTGAGCAGGAACGTCTGGGTGGCTAAGTCAATTAAACATCAGACTTCAGCTCAGGTAATGATTTCATGGTTCAAGAGTTTGAGCCCTGCGGCAGGCTCTGTGTGGACAGCTCAGAGCCTGGAGCCAGCTTCAGATTCTGTGTCTCCCTCTCTCTTTGCCCCTTCCTCACTCTCACTCTGTCTCTCTCTCTCAAAAATAAATAAATATTAAAAAAAAAGAATATCTGAACAGATAATGACCAATAAATTTCCAAATCCAAAGTCAAAAACAAAACAAAACAAAACAAAAAAACCTCAGCAAATCTCAAGTATAGAAAATTAAAAGAAAACCATACGTAGGCACAACATGATCAGACTACTAAAAATCAAATAAGAACATCAAATCTTAAGAGCAATCAGGGAAGAAGGAAATGTTATTTCTCACCAGGAACAATGGAGGTCAAAGGGCAATAGAATGATATCTTTTTAAAGTGCTGGAAGAAAACAAATTATTAATGTAAAATTCTATATCCAATACAAAGTTTCTTCAAAAAGGAAGGCAACATGAAGATATTTTCAGACATACAGAACTTAAAGAAATCATTTCCAGCATACCTGAATTGGTGAAAGAAGACATATAAGAAATGTTCAAAGATTTTTCAGACTGAAAGAATTCTATCTTTCTGAAGGGAAACAATACACCAGATGGAATATATAGAACCCCAGATCTGCAGGAATGAATGAAGAGCAACACGAAGTGTAAACATGAGTGCAAATAGTTACTATCAAAGATTTCATCTTTGTAGTTGTGCGAATGTGTGTGTGTTCAAGCATGTGTGTAATTTTTAAAAGAATTTTTAAAAAATAAAAATAAAATAATTTTAAAAACATTCCTGACTATTTAGGCCAAAAATAATATGTATTGTGAGTTTCATAGCATAAGACAATAATAACACAAAATATAGGACGGAGTAAATGGAATTCTTCTACAGCTCGTGTACCTTAGAAGGTAGACTGTGAGCAACCATTAAATGTCACAAAGAGATATAATTAAAAAGTCAATACGAGTGAAAAATGGAATACCAAAAAATACACAGTTTACCTACCCATCCCCCAAAAAGTCAAGAGACAGGGGGAGGGGCAAACAGGAATGTATTAGACAAAGAGTACAAAGTTTCAGTTATGCAAGATGAATAAGTCCTAGAGATCTGTACAGCACAGAGCCTATAGTTACCAATACTGTGTTGTATACTCCAAAATTCTCTAAGAGAGTAAATCTTACATTGAGTGTTCTTACCACAAAAAAGGAGAAGGAGAAGAAGAAGAAAAAAAGAGGGTAAGAGGAAACTTTTGGAGATGATGAGTAACTTTGTGGTGAGGGTTTCACAAATGTATACTTACCTCCAAACTTATCAAGTGTATACGTTAAATATGTAAAGCTTTTTGCATGTCAATAATACTTCAATAGAGTAGTTATTGTTAAGTCAGGAAAGAAGAAACAAAGGAATACAGAAGTAATGAGATGAATAACTAGTTCACCTGGGAGATATGAATCTAATCATATAATAATTACATTGACTGTAAATGGGATAAACATTCCAATTAAGGGTTAGAATTTGACGAACAGGATCCAAAAGCAAGATGAAATATATACGCTGTTATGTATAAAGACACGGACAGGTTTAAAGCAAATTATAAGCAGGAGAGGTTTGGCATGGCTATAATCAGTACCAAACAAAGTAGACTTTATGTCAGAGTATTACTATAGATAGAGGGTCATGCCCTAATTATACAAGGATTAATTCATTAAGAAGACATGCATATACAACTCATAGCAGATCTTCAAAATGCATTTTAAAAATTAAAAGAGCTAAAGGGAGAAATTGATAAAATCACAAGTACAGTGGAAAGTTTCTTAATATCTCTCTTTCAATAACTGATGAAAAAATACTAGTGAAAATATAGAAGACATGAACAATCAACTAACTTAACCCAATTAACATTTATAGAACACAACTCCAAATTTCAGAGTGCATATTCTTTGACTGCACACGAACATTCGCCACAACTGACCACAGGCAGGGCATTAAAATAAGTCTCTATGAATATCAAAAGATTTAAACAATACACAGTATATCTTCCAATCACAAGCTGAATTATTTCATGGCTCCTAAAAACATAAAATGCACATTCATTTTAAGTTGTAAAAGTTGATGACATGCTAAGTAACAAAAACAAAATTTCCTCTCAATCAAATTTTGGTCAGAAATTTCTCAGTCCGTGTTCTATGATTTCAAGTGATAAAAACTGAAAATCAGTAATCTAGACAAAAACAATGATTTTTAAAGTCTTAATCACTTGGATGTTGAAAAACACTCTTCAAAGAAGCAATGATATGAAGAAAATTAAGAATATAATGGTAAGCTATTCTGAAAAAACAATAAATGTGACCATTACTGAAACCAGTTGGCTTGAAAGAAGAGTTAAAGGGGGAGGAGAGAGGAATAGGCAGAGCACAGAGGATTTTTAAGGCCATGAAACTAGTCTCTATGATACAATAACGGTGGAGACGTTCATCACAAACTTGTCCAAACCCATAGAATGATAGTATTAAGACTGAAGACTTTGGTAAGCTCTGGAATTCGGGTGAATATGATGGATCAGTGTAGGTTCACTGGTTGTAACAAATGTACCAATTCAGGTGGCGGATGTTGATATGGTGGAGGAGGCTGCTCATGTGTGGGGGCAGGGAGTACAGGTACCTCAAAGTAAGTCTTTTGCAAATGGGTGGAGCATGAACTTTCAGAAAGCAGGGAGATGCTCTTTGCTTTATGCCATTTTTTTAATGCTTATTTTATTTTGGGGTGGGGGGAACAGAGCACAAGTCGGGGGGGAGCAGAGAGAGAGAGAGACAAGGAATCTGAAGCAAGCTCCAGACTCTGAGCCCTCAGCACAGAGCCCAAGGTGGACCTCGGACCCCTGAACCACAAGATCATGACCTAGCCAGGCCGGATGCTTAACCAACTGAGCCACCCAGGCACCCCTACTTTATGACATTTTATGAAAGGTTTCATGAAACTTCTTTACTTTTGTTTTTTTGTGGGTGTTTTTGAGAATAAAATTATTTTATTTTTTATTGAAATTGACATATAACACTATCATATTTTCAGGTGTACAACATAGTGATTTTATATTTGTATATATTGCATAATGATGACCACAATACCAGTTAGCATCCATCACCAAACATAGTTAAAAAAATTGTTTGTGTGTGATGAGAACATTTAAGATTTACTCTCTTAGGGAACTTTCAAATATGCAATACAGTATTATTAACTATAGTCACCGTGTTGTACATCACATCCCCAGGACTTATTTAGTTTATAACTGGAAAGTTTGTACCTTTTGACCCTTTTCACCTATTTTGCCCTACCTTCTGCCACTTGCAACCATTTTTTTTTCTTTCTTAGATTCCACATATAGGTGACATCATATTGTATTTCTCTTTCTCTGACTTATTTCACTTAACAGAATGCCCTCAAGATCCATCCATGTTGTCACAAATGGCAAGATTTCCTTCTTTTTTATGGTTGAATAATAAAAACTCTCTACTTATGCATAACAGAAGGAACTTGTATATAGGACCTCTCTGTTGACCTTCCACTCAATTTTACTGTCTATCTAAACTTATCCTAAAAAAATAAAGTCTATTAAAAAAAAAAAAAAGAGTTAAACTCAAAGGAAACATCATGACCTTAATTATGTTTATTATTTTAAAAATGATAAAAAATAAAAAGAAAGTAAATAGACTATAAAGTGAACTTAACAGTAGAAAAAAATAAATTTGTAGAAAAATGAATAAGTAAATTAAAATCTAGTTCTTTGACAAGAAACAAAATTGATTAACATTTGGCAAGTATAATAAAGAAAACAATTTTAATAAAAAAAGATGAGAAATTAGAAACTGATAAACATCAGAGATAAAAAGATTAAATAAATATAAATCTGGAGATCTTTAAAAAACGCTTTTTCTAGTAAATATAAATAGCCAAAAGCAATGCCACAAGATGTGGAAAGTTTGAAATCGACAAGACCTAAGAAAGTTTGGCAGGAACCACCTTCAAAGTAGACTCAGCACCTGACAGACTTCCTGGTCGATTTCTTTAAATTGCCAAGGTTAGAGTAGCTCCTCTGTTACATAAACATTTTCAGAAAGTACCAAAAAAAGGAAGGAAAGTTATTAATTTATTTAACAAATCACATAACCCCGACACCAAAATCTGATGAAGGGAGAAGGTAAAAGGGCAGAGAATCATTGGCGAACGCCATGCAGGGTTGGAAAATGCCAGGTGAACCATCCAGATCACTGATCTCTTCATGCTGGGGTGAGATAGCGGAAATGCCAAGATAAAACCGGAAGGGTGGACGCAGGCAGACATGAGTCACTTCCGTTTTTGAGCCTCTATGTATAAAAAAAATTTTTTTTAATTAAGAAATGACAAAACAATTTTTCAAATATAACAACATTTAACGATAAACACTTTCAATACTTATAAAAATGAAGACAAATACAACTGCGTTAGAACATCACGTGGCGATAATGCCAAGAGTAAAAGCGAAGGCTTTAAAGAAGGGAGATCCTTTCAGCAACAGCCCCTACACACACACACACACACACACACACACACACACACACCACCCCTTCGCCCGCCCCCACACACCTTGTGCTAGATCCCACCGAGGCAGAGAGCAGTCTGCAAGAGGACAGGAAAGTAGAAACTTTCAACGTTCCTGGAAACAACTCTTTTCATGTTTCTGCCTCCTGTGAGTGAGGTATATATACCATGGAGGATATAACCTGGCTGCCAACAGCATTACCACTTATGATGAGATAGTACCAGACCAAAACAGTGTTTATATTATGTGCCATTACCTCTGAAGTTCCAATCATGAAGCCTGCAGAAAGAGACGTTGCCAACCTACCTTGACTACCTTGGCCCATCTCTGCCAGGGATAACCTTCTGCTCCTCAGTTTCTCCTTCCCAGGCCTGCAGATGCCCAGGGAAAAGTCCGGATGTTCAGCCCAGAGCCCTGCTGCCTTCTTCCCCCAGGTTCTGTGCTTATTCTATCCCACCGCTCCTGACTCATTTGTCATTTACTGTAATTTTTATTTCCAGGTGCCCCTTTTGTCTCATTTGGCAAACAGGCCCCTTCACAGCTTTGTGAAGCCATGTCACTAGCCAGTTGGATATTGACAGAAATGGTGTGTGCAATTTCAAGATGTCATTAAAGGAAGAGGCAGGAAATTATCTTCCCTTTTTCTCCTTCCTGCTGGCTGGAATGCAGACATGAGGACTAAAGCTGAAGCATCCATGGATCATGAGGTAAACTTGGGGAATAGAGCCCAACACAGTGGAGCAGATATATATAAGCCCAAAGGCTGTGTAAATCTGAGGCACCAAAGAGAAGAGATTGGCCCAGCACTGGCCTCCTCAGGGGAATGTTCTGCCCCCTGCCTGCTAGGAGAGCATAGGAACCCAGCAGGACTGGATCCTTCTTTGCTAAGGAGGAAAGGCTGCCCATCCCAGCAAAGGCTTGGGTGAGATGCTGATCCTCCTAAGGCAGCAACATCAGCAGTCACCTGTTCTGCATCACCTGCCACCATTCTGCTTTGTATCAGCTGGAGCTCCTACCCACTTTCAAATTGTAGAACAATGCCAGAAAAATTATACTGCTGTTAAGCTAGGTAGAATTAGCACCCCTTCTTGCCTTTATCCCAGTTGGTTTAATAACTGTCTTTGGAGGTCTTATTCTGAGCTACCTAATTGCTACACAATTGCTACCTAACGGCTCCTTTGGCTTTACACTTGGAGAATCAACTACAACTGAGCCTCAGAAGCCCAAATGGGAATTATCAGTGGAGGATGATGTGCCCAAGAATTCCTTTTAGACACAGGGCCCAATCCCTGAGGAATATCCTGGTGTGGGGACCCCCTTCTCACATCCTTCCAGGTGTGGACATCTAACTCCTGCCCCCCATACTGCCTCAGGGGGTCTCACTAGGGCAGAAGCTCTCACTGTTCTTTCCAGAGCTGGAAAGGGGAATGGGACTCCACACCTTCACTCCAAGCTGGCTGGCTAGTCTGAGGAAGACTCAGGGGGCTACGGCTGCACAGACCTCCCCCAAACTTTGACGGGCTCCTGGAAGGAGGGGCAAGAAGAATCCAGGCAAGTGTAAAGAGAGGAGGAGGAGCCAGGCCAACTTAACAACACCCCTGGGAGACTCTTGTGAGTCTTCTCTGAGAATTCCTCAGAGCCTGCATGTCCTCCTCCTCGGGAAGTAGGCGGTACAGTGCAGTTATAACCTACTTATCAGCTAAATCCTCCGGCCACTGAAAATCTAAGCGAGGTTGGCTCACACATCTTTTCCATGACTCGAGGATGTCATGTCATCCCTAGAGATTTCACATATTCATTTGGAGACTTAAGTTTTATGGTCCAATCGGCCTCTACCCGACAGCTTGGACTCACATTGTGCTGACCGACATGTGATTTGCACACAACCAGGGTGACACTGGAAATATTTAACCATCATGGAATAGCCACTGGCAATCAGGGCAGACATCAGCTGTTAACCCTGGGGGTGAAGCCACCACTGCAGGGCAGGTGAGCATGAGCTCTGCGAAGGGTCCCGCATAGGCATGCATATGCCCAGTGATGCTGAAGACAGTGCACTTTACAAATTCTTGAAAGCTCAGAAGAGAGGTCGTTTGTGTACCATACATCTCCTGCTTTTTTCTTGCTAATGAAAACTCATTTTTATTCCAGCATAGGGTCGATGTTCTCCAAAGGTGAGCTCTCCAACAGGAAGGACCAGGAGAGACCAGGAGGTGAACCATGATGGGCCTGAGTGATCATGATAACCCAATTTGCCCGCTGCCGGGTGGATTTAGGTGTAGGCGGCTGAACTCAGAAATACCAGATCTAGCCAGTGTTCTGAAGGGGAGTGTCCTAGAAGCTTCCAGAAAATATTTTCCTTCTTAGTGAAAATAAAAAGATACAAAAGGAAAATCTCTCTCCCGCTCCCTTTCCACCTTCTGCCTTACAAGGCAGTCACATGAGGACCTGTGTCCAGAGTTACATAGATGTGACACAGCCAGGTGGGAGAGTCCACAAGTGGAGGATAGCGATTCAGAGAGACGGGAGGAGCCTGGGCCTGCAGCTCTGGAACCACTGCTCCCCGGACCCTCCTCAGAATCTCCGTTGTTCCAGCCACTTCATGAGAGAGCGTCTGCTTCTTCTGGTCAAAATCTTGACCACAAACAGCTTGTCACCATCTCCTAGTCATCTCTTGTCTCCTCTCTCCACTCCTCTCAAACTGAGACAAAATTTTCCTCATTTTCTCCTGAAAAGCAGGTCAAACAACTCTTATTATTGCTTGGGTCCCTGCCCAAAACCAGCCCTTGCATAGTCTCATCTTGTATCCCCAAGAGCTGAGTCAAGCTATTTATCCCAACAAAGAAAATTCCCTCTCTAGGAAGAATTCTCACTCTAGTCCTGAATATGATTTTTGTCTGAAAAGAAAAAAGAAAGGAAAGGAAAGGGGAGAGAAGGGGAAGGGAGGGGAGGGGAGGGGAGGGGAGGGAAGGAAAGGAAAATTCAGGGCAGATCCCATTCAGGGATCTCCAAGAGATAATTATCTCTACAAATCATGGAAGGCCCTGACTGTCCTTGGCTAGAGATCCAGGAAAACAGCTGAGGAGGCCTGAACCCCTTAAAGAGAACCTATGATTCATTTGTTCACTCTGTCATTCAACATGTATTTATTGAGCACATACTATATGCTATGGACTCAGCAATGACAAAGAGAGAGAATGTCTCTCCCTACGTGGAGCTTACATCCTAAAGGGGTAGACAGATAACCACACACAAAAAAAAACCATAAAACAACCAAACTGGAAAAATAGTTATAAATTGTAATTACCCCCCTGAGGGAAGCAAAGACTGTTGACATTTTAGTGCATTCCATAATTCTAGTAAAAAACTCCAATTCCAAGATTGAGCAGAAGAGTGCCGTGTACCCTGAGGCAGTAAAGAACTCATGGCTTTGAGTAACTCAAAGTAAATGTTGGATGGGAGCCAAGAGGGTGGGGGAGCGGATGGTGAATTAAGAGAGGTAGCCGTCACCAGGAACCGATGGCCTTGAGGCCATGGTAAGGCATCCTAATTTTAATCTAAGTGCACTGGGAGATATTGGAAGGACTGGAACCAGTCAGGCAGCTTAATTATTCTGCTCTGATAAAGGAGAATGGGCTGGCAGTGGGTGGGTCTGGAGGGAGACTACCAACTTCCCCCTCATGAAATGCTTGCCCTGGCCCATCAATGGCACCTTTTGTGAATGAGTGACAGTGGACATGGAAAGAAATGGAACATTCAAGACATATTTTTGGAGTAGAAACAAAAGGCCTTGCTGATAGATTGAATGTGGAAAAACCATAAGGACATTAGTCCTAAGCTTGACTCTTGTACATATTTCCAAGAAAAATAGGAACTGAACACAGATCCCCAAAGCCTGAATGTTGAGAAGTTTCATAATGGAAAAGGGTAAGGAACACCATTTCCTACAAGCATTTACAAAGCACTAATGGTATGCCAGGTACTGTGCTAGGCTCCTGGGAAATAAACTACAAACCCCCCTAGCACTGGAGCGGAGAGGAAGTCTGTTCCGGAATCTTCATGTGGAGGAGGCTAGCTGAGCCAGGAGCCCAAGATTCATCCCTCTGAGATTTATCCTCATCAGGCATCAGCACAGCCTCCTTTTCCAAGCCTCAAAGATTTGCTGGAGTGAGAACATCTGTTTCCACCAACATAGAACTAGATAGCCCGAATGCTTTCCTGTTAGAAAATGAAGACAATTCTGGGTAAAACATGACAAACCCTTTTTAAATGCATAGCTGAGGTTGGAGTAGGGGATGGGGGGTGGTCGTGGTAAGAGAAACCCCCAAAGGCCAAAAAATGAAGAGAAAACAAAACCACATTGGCCTGGGAGAGCTCTCACTTTATCTTATCTCTAGGGGTTGGCTGGCCTTGGAAACCCAAAGATTTGCATATTAATGGCTGCAGCCCTGGGCCTGAGAAAGGGAGGGAGTTGGAATTAAGACCCCCCACAGGAGGGGCGCCTGGGTGGCGCAGTCAGTTAAGCGTCCGACTTCAGCCAGGTCACGATCTCGCGCTCTGTGAGTTCGAGCCCCATGTCGGGCTCTGGGCTGATGGCTCAGAGCCTGGAGCCTGTTTCCGATTCTGAGTCTCCCTCTCTCTCTGACCCTCTCCCGTTCATGCTCTGTCTCTCTCTATCCCAAAAATAAATAAACGTTGAAAAAAAAAAAAAAAAACTTAAAAAAAGACCCCCACAGGAGTCTTTGAAGTGAAAGGGTGCACCAGAAAAAAATCAGTCCACTGGCA